GGATCCAGAACTGAATTCTTTAAAACAAAATGGCCGCCAGTCGGCCATTTCGAACTTGATCCGGAAAAAAAAATGACGTTCATCAAGGTCCTATTATGTTTAATGTATGTACCAAATTTCAATAAAATCCATCCATGCATAACTGAGATCCGGGTCCGAAATGGTGAAAATGTGCGATTTCAATGCATTTTCGGCCTTAAAGCGACCGCCATTTGGCTATCGTTAATGAGATCATGAAACAAATGCACATACATATTTGTGACATGATGTACCTTGTGTGTGTGAAGTTTGAACTCGATCAATCCAGACATGTCTCAGATACGGATCCAGAACTGAATTCTTTAAAACAAAATGGCCGCCAGTCGGCCATTTCGAGCCGATCCCAAAAAAAAAATGATGTGCATCAAGGCCCTATTATGTTTAATGTATGTACCAAATTTGAACAAAATCCGTCCATGCATAACTGAGATCCGGGTCCGGAATGGTGAAAATGTGCGATTTTGATGCATTTTCGGCTTTAAAATGGCCGCTATTCGGCTATTGTTAATCGGATCATGAAAAAAATGCATGTGCATATGTCCCATATAATGTGTGATGTATGAGTGAAGTTTGAACTTAATCGGTCCATGCATGTTCGAGATGCAGGTGATCACGGACGCACGGACGTGCGAACGCACGGAGGCACACAGGGCAAAACATAAGTCCCTGTTTTCGGACTACGTCCGAACGTGGACTAATAATGTTTCTCATGTCTTTGTGGAGCTTTTATTCACCGTTGTTGATGTGGGTGAGGGTGACTTCATTTGAATAATAAACTCCGCCCGAGCCTGTTTATATACCATATCGGTCTTTAAATCTAATGTAAAAAATGTATTTCACATGACACTGAATGAGACATACACATGTATTAAAACTGACACAATACAAATGTGTATCCATTAAAATAAAGCTATTGCGGCGAGTGGTTTGAAATCACTGTGTTATTGTTGTAACCGGCATTTTCCTGAGGTTCAGTCACTGTTCGTGATTCAGGTTAAACGCCAGATGCTAACTTGTTTTATAATACCAATAATCACGTTGCTATCGTTTGGCCAATGAGAACAATTAGATCATCGTTAAAGTTCAATACAATATTGAAGTGAAATGTTGCTGGTAACAACTACGAGAACAACAATCTAACTTGTGTCATTTTGCTCTTCAAGTTGAATAAAATACAAAAATACAGGGCTGCGGTAGTGTTGCTTTTCATTACTACCATGCAGTACCTTACTGGTTATAATACCGCGACCGTTAGTTCGTAAATATCCTTCTGCACTGGTATTCCAATTTTGATAGAGGACGTAATCATTTTTGGAGTGGTATTCAAGAAGGAACGTAAACGATCTTTTGTCTTCACCAGGGGGAACCAATAGGACAATACTGTAAACCACCTAATTTTTGCTGCTAAGAGTGTTTGCAAAATTTTACAAAAGTCAACAATACTTAGTGTCGTAAAACCAAAGAGAAATTTTCACGGCTACAGAATTTTATAATTTTCATATACTTGCGAAATTCGCAAACATTTGTTTCCCGCAAAATTAAAGAGGTTTACAGTAGATGATTTTAAATTAATTTTTTTCCGAATTTTAGAGAACAAGTTATCCCTAATAAATTATACTGTAAGTAGAACTTATTAGGTCTACCCTTTCACATATACTGTCTATGTTTACTTACCTGCCATGTGGGAGTATAATCATTTCCAACCACATACTTATCCACATCATCAAAATCAATTGGATAATAGTCTTTACTGCAGAATCTAATAAGTGTTTCTTGACCGTATATGTAGATTCTCAGCGGGTCAATAGAAGAAATCACAGTATACACACCAATATCAAACTTTCTACCATCAATCAGAAAGGGATTATGTATATATTCTTGCATAAATGTTTTCTCATTATCTAAATCCAAATCTGAGAAAAAGAAGATAATATACAGGTTTTTTAAAGCAGGAGTGTCGTCACCTGCGCATGCGTCAGAAGGCCATAACGTGTCATTGTTTATAAACAAGCGTCTACCCATGAGCCTTTGCGTTATTAGCGCGTGTAACTTTTGTTATCGTCTTTTGGGACTCAATTTTCACGTGTGCGCAGGTGACAACCCTTCAGCCTTCAAAGGCAAAAACAGCGATGCATTCATGAGAATAAGGAAATTGTTGAAAAAAAAATCATATTTCTACTAAGGTAGAAAAATTATTTTTACAGAGGATTTTATTGATACGATTAAAATTCCCAGGGGAATTAAAATGATGATATCAACATAAAGACGTAATGCAAGTCAAAATATTGAAACAAAACAAAACTCATATAGAATCATTTATTTGTTTTCTGGCTTTTTCATATAATTCATTTTTTCAAGTTGTGACAAAATGGTGTTATCTCCAACTTCATTCTTTAAGCAAAAAGTAATTTACACTACAATACTATGAATATACCATGATACAGTAACTTTTAATACAATCTGCAAAAAAAATTGACATGCATCAAAAGGCAATAATATTTAATGTATCTGGTTCCCAAATTGCAGAATGACATAAATTATGATTATCCTGGCAAGAAATTGCTTATGACATCAACAATGGCAACAGTGATGACAGACATGGTACCGGAAACCACTTCATTTACATTATGGTTAAGGCAAGGAAAAATAATTCTCTGTTTATCGTTTTATGGATTTTTTGAAACTGATGAATACTGAGCTAAAATGGGGGAAATTTTAGACAAGTGTGAGTACAAGCGCATTTTGGAATGCTTTAGAAGAAAAAAAAAACGTCCGAGGCGCATAGTTCAAAATGATGCGCGGAAATGAGAAACAGAGAAATTTTTTTTTTCAGCCTAAGATAAAAATGATTTCACAGTATTAGCAACATAAAACTAAAAAAAATGTGTGTTTGATGAATTCATGTCACAGGAACTGATATCATCATGAGTAAGAATATTTTGCCCAACAAGGAATAATTAATGAATAGAATGAGTTCTCCATTCCAACTAAAGTGAGCAAATAAATAAAAACAGTTAAACAAAGGCTAATTGGATATCTCTAACATCGTCATCTATTAATGATCTGATATCATCGCCATTGTTTGACATTTCAACCCAATTAGGATAAAAAACAGATCTCAAATTTTATAATATGCTTTAATTTATAAGATTAAATGGTAACCAAACTATTTTTTTCTCACAAGATCTCTTTTGAATTATTTATCATTGGTTTCTATGGTCAAAAGTTATTACTATATATTTTGTTTTGTTATATATGGTATAATAATTATATGCAGTTATAAAATAGATACTCATACTTGTCACAAATTATTGAAAAATTATTATTCATATTATTTATGGATTCCTATAAAAAAGATTTTTACAAAAAATAATTCGTACTGGGAAAAAAATGACAAGTTCATGACACGGAGAGAGGAAAAGTAGGTATATACCTTTTAATTTCTTGACTTGAATACCTCTGTGGTTACTACTCTTTTGTACCCAAAGCGTATCAGGTTTTTCTTCGACCTTAAAAAACAGATACAACATAATGTGAATATTTGGAGGATAATATGAACTACCATTAAAACATGAATTAGCAAATCAAGATGTCAACTGGCATATCTTTATTCGTCACATATGACATGTGTCCAAAGTACCATTACATGTAAAATATATCAAATTATTTTATTTGTAATGTATCAGTAACATAGTTTCTGGTTTTTAGTTCAGCCTCTGAATGCCAAAGTCAACTTCTGTCACCTATAACAAAATAAAACCAACACAAATTTTTCCGATTTTTTTGAAAATTTCAATCAAAACATGTAGGCAATAGGAAATTGTCCATCCAAATATTCATTAGGTCCAAAATTATTAAATAAATTATAGAAACATATATATGAATAGTAAAAATGTTGCGTTAAAATTTTTGCAAGAAAAATAATGGAATTCAAAGGGTTAAACGCATCAGGTGACACATTGACAATTGACAGCCACACAAATCTTAACCCATACATTACAGGGAGCATACAACAATACAGTTGTCAATGTGCTGAAGTAATCTTCTAAATAGTACACATCTCAAAATCCAAACACAAATATTATTAGTCACAGAAAAAAAAAATCACAAAGAAGCAAAAACTTAATCCACATTTTCAATTCTCAATCATTTCAAACCAATTTATGCTTTTTCCACATGATTCACAGAAATTTTCTGCAATAGTTACCTGTTTTAAAAATAACTCCTTCTGTTCTGGCATTTCAAACGCTTTGGGGATGTACTTGAGGTTGGATGTAGCAAGATATACCTTGTTGGTGATGAATCCAATGCCTGGTATATGGTTGATCTGAAAAGTACAAGGACTGACATCTGTGCTGTCCATGTCAAACTAAAATAAAACTTTATTCACTTTGAATTTCTGAAACACCCCAAGTTAACTGTCAATTCACTGCAAATCACCAGTTTAAAAAAAAAAAATTCACTTCATCAATATTTAGAAATTCTCAGAGAAATGCATCAGTACACACAGTATTCTGATTGGTTACCAATAGACTTGACCTATTAGGTCAAAGGACATTCGACAACAAAGATAAAAATGAAGATTTTCATTTGCATAATTTTCATTTGCATAATTTTTCGAAGGGGTTCTTGAGTGAGTGTTATTATAAAGTCTATTTTCTGTATGTGTGTCAACATTTTGATCCAGTTTCTTCGTAACGTAACAATTTCAACTCTTCTTCGTGAAAAACTGAGTGGTTGAAAACTACGATATGAAAATGATACCAGAACCTCAAAAATAAAATAAAATTATTATACATGACCTTTATGACCTAGGAGGTATGGTATTTGTACCTTTATTGGAGATGTGTTTCTAATAGAGAAAACATGGTACATGCACCTCTTTAGATGTCCCATTAATAGAGCAAATATGGTACATGTATACCATAGCTCTATTGGAGATGTGCTTCTCATAGAGGAAATACAATACACAAATGAAAGATTACTTACTCTTTGATGGGGCAACATGTTCATAAGATGTTTAGATAGTTCAACAAATGGGTAATCATGGGCCCATATTACATCCCATTCAGATTCAGGGCCACCCCGTAAAAATCCAAGTCTTTCAAACACTGCGATAACATGATTTAGATAGCCGCTTTCAGGCTGTAAGAAATTGAAGAAAGCTTAGAAAGTATTCATGAGTGTTAAACATATTGCAGGCGACATTTGAAGACATGTGCAAGACTCTATTATTGTTTTCTGTCTTCTGGTTGATCCTAACCTACATCATGATCGTTACATGCTATATAAAAATACAAACTACCGTACTCACAGCCGAGGATGGAACAGAGCTTTATCATATGCATACCTTGTAATACACTACTGTGTGACGCAAGAAAGAACAGATCAAAAACTCAATATCACCACAGCGTTATGTCACATGGAAATTATTAAGTAGGTTTATCTATTTTGTGAACCGTGACAAAAGTTGCCTTGGGAGTTAAAAGTAACTTGGTTTTATTTAATGCTTTGAGGCATCAGCAAAAATAATAAAATTGTCAAAAAAAAAGACATTTTATAATATTACATCCATTATATCAGCAACTTTTATATTGTTTGAATTACAAATACATTTCACATTCAGACAATAGAATTACCATATACCTCTTGATGAATACATTATGACAAAATCATCTATTGATTTAGGTGTAATTAGCCTATGGACGTTGACGCTCAAAATAGAAGTCTGAAGAACTTTTCAATAAAACCACCAATGCATGGCAATCAACAATTCCAAAATATCGCTTAGAATTCATTTTAAAAATGTTGAATAACACCAAGATACAGGGAACTGGGGGAGTATAATCACACACAGGCCTGTTTTTTTTATTAGCTTCTAAACTATTACCGTAAGTTTACAATTATTTTTTCAACACTCTTATTAAAAAACTAAATATTCAAAACGAAAAGACGAGCAACAATCACTTTCAGATAATTTAAGTTGGATAACCATGAATTATTCATTAGTTACCATGGAAACCAGAATGTAGTCAATCACTCATTCATGATGTTATAATTGGCTCATAGATGTCAGATTAAAATTCAGAGAGTGTCGTGTCTATATCAGCTTGTTTTAGTTGTATAGTAACACGTACAATGCATCTACTGTTGATTTCTTTGGGACTTTCATACAAAGATATAATATGGCTGCTCACAAGTTGATATATAGAGGATATTTTATTGAATGAATTTAATAAATTTGATATTGTAGAATTATGTATTTGATATCTTGTTTATCCCATGCATCCATTTCACACCTTTTAAAGGCTAAAAATGCAGTTCGTGAACACATATTCAAGATCCCAAACAAAGCCATATTGGAGATCAATTAACAGTTACCCTAGATACGATATAATTCACCTGTCAGCGTCGTCATCGTACAAGCAATTATTTATATATGGTAAGCAATACTAAGTCAGCTAACTGACGTACAACCCTATAATTAAAAGTCAATCAAATCACTTCTTATGCAAGGCAGTGTCAATCCATCAGATCAGCATTACAGAGTTAATTAGCCAAAAAGAAGATATAAGGAGGTTTTTAACGATGGATATTGTGTTGGAAATGCAGCATATTTGTTACATTCTACTTATCTACTGACGATGATTCACTATTCTTTAGAAGTAACACTTGATCTCTTCTATTAAAATGAGTAAAGCTATGACCGGTAAATTGAAAACTGTAGTATCACCCAATATTTTAATAAATCATGGTTTTATTTTTTAATCCATGCAAATAATTTTGATGAACTGTAATCATCCAGTTATCTGAGCAAAAATGATTTTTTTTACTGAGTTTTATGCAGCTAGCGAATTACATGTTAGGATTTACCGCTCCCATGGGAGTATACATAAATAATTGCGTTATATTGTAGAATACTTTATTTTCGCTTGGAATTTATTTTCGCTGAAGGGATGATCTCGTGAAAATAAAATCCAGCGAATATACTTTTTTTCCTATATTTCACATTAAACTCATCAAAAATCAGTGAAAATACAAAACGCCCAAAAATCCTTTTCAGCGAAAATTAATTCCAGCGAAAATAAAGTATTCCACAGTATTTACATGGTACAAGAAATAACAAGACAATATGATATCATGTGGAGATAAATTAACTTTTTACACCAGATAAATGTGAAACAGAGTCGTAGACTTCTGCACAATATTGAAAACAAATTATTTAGATGAAAGTAAGATTCGTTTTCATTCAAGTGATATGAATGAAAACGGTGCGAACAGACATAAAGAACTAAGTGCATTCAAAAATTGAACCAAAGCGTAACATTTCATGGGTTTGAATAATTATTAATTTGAGGTTTGTCATCAAAGCTATTTGCATACTTTTACATTTTCTTTGGCTAGAAATACATTTCCAGTTTTTTTTTATCAGTGAAATCAACAAATTAATGAATAATCAATGCTTTTACCTGGAGGAGCTAAATAAATAGGATGTATTTGTATTGCTCTCAATAAAACATCAATGTGAAACAACGATTCTATTATGTTAGGTCAAACAAAAAATGATATGTTTTTTCTACGCACAGTTCAAATGTGGCTATTAACGACTTGAAGATGTTGTAAAAATGAAAGAATAATTGGCAAAAAAATAATAACGCACTTGCCATACCATTTTGTTTTTAACCGCTCAACAGCAGAAATAAATCTACATTTTTTCAGCATAATAACATTATTTTTACAGTACAGTACTCACCCTTTTTGCGTAGAGCCACAATATCGGCCTGTTGGTGGCCAATCTTGCATTCTGTGCCTCAGCATTCGGTAAATACCCATGATAAGAAATCATGTGATTATTTTGCATATTACGTAACTCATAAACGTTCAAAGCGGTCAACGATAGACCAACCACCAACACCACCAGTGTTATCAAAAACACACGGTTTGATGACAGTAGCGGTCCTTTTACTCGCCAACGATCGGACTTTCGAGGATGATGCATGCTTGTAGTATGTGAGTATTTCTGCAAAAAAAAAAAATGAATATTGAATTCAAGGATGGATAACAATCTTGGTTATAAACTACATTTGTTGTTGTATACCACCATAAATCAATCAAAATATCAGTCAAGCGAGGGAACGTTGACACGATGTACCAGAGATGTTATTACGTATTAAGCAGTCAACCAGCAGACAGACTCATGATGGATTTTCACTATGAATGCTTGATAAGAACTACTTCAATAACTATAACTATATAATTTTAGGCCTCCCTAGGTTAGAGATAATTATTCCTTTAATGCTACGAGTCAAAAGTTAATCATAAATTAATTAATTGTGTTCAATACAAATGTTACTCCATACATTATGGGCAGTATTTAGAGGCATTGTGTTTATATTACATTTGTTAATTTGCATCTACTATCTTTTCTATGACAGTTTGATTAAATGAAAGATACCTTGAGGGTCTTTTCTTAGGTGAAAACTCAACTCATTGCCACGACGATAGCAATCATATGTCTGTATAGCTTCAATTCATGTTGCTATAGAAATGAACACAATGGTATTGAAACTGGCAACAAGCAATACTTTTTGAGATGCACAGCAGCGCAGACTGTTGCTAACTACATCTCTCTCTAATGCGTTGTTCTGAATGGATGAAAATCATCAACTGATCATATACACTACACCTTATCAAAATTTTAATAATGCAATGTGACAAAGTTTATATTCTCACATGAGAGGTGGTCGTTAAATATATTTTCAGAATCTGGCCTTCATCAGCAATTCAATTAGACTTTTGGCACCGTTGGCGAGCAAATGCTCAGAAGAAATGGAAATTACACTTAATAATCTGCTATTACAGATTTAAATAATTAATCCGATGATTAGTTTTTAGTTTTTAAATTTGTGAGGATGGCATGTTGTAACAGTCATTGTTAATTGTCTTAAAGATTCCAATGAAATGTTCCAATGAAATGTTCCAATGAAATGTTCCAATGAAATGTTCCAATGAAATGTTCCAATGAAATGTTCACACAGCTGTGGAAATTCATAAAAGATTTTCTCCTGAAAACAAAGTGATTTTACAGTATTTTACAAAAGTATGGTAGAAGTATTTATTTTCACTTGATTTTAAATTCACAGATTTTCCAGTGAGACAAGTTTTATTGTAAATTTACCGGTACATGTGAAACTTGGGGGCCATTTCTACAGTTGTGGTGAAATAAATAAATATTATGAAGAAATAAAATATGAAGCAGTAAACAATAATCTAGATGAATAGTTACGAACACTAATTCTTTCACTTTGTGCAATGTAGCATAGAGGAAGTAAAGTTATAATAATAAGCATACACACAGCAGGGATCACTGAACGAAATCACTCTATGTGAATAGGTAAATTATATTGTAAACTACATGTAGTGGTAATCAATTTAGTGTCTTTTCATAGTGATTAACATTTAGTAAAAATAGTCTAAAGCTAGAAGATTAAAAACGAATAAGAATACTGGTAAGTACAGTAATCAACAAACAGAATGATATAATATTTAACTTCAATTGATTCGTGAGATCTATAATATGTTTACGTTGATGTATACCCAAGTGCATGTAAACAGAAATCAGATTAAAATCTGAAGTATTGTACCGATATTGAGTTAATATTTCCAGAACATATTTTAAAAAAAAAATTAAAAAAGGCTGACAAATAAGTCCACATAATGTCTAACATATACCACGGAGAGTGGTCTACCCAAGGTGTCTACATATAAAATATATGAAATGAGGATGTAAATAGAGCCATTAAAGTCCTAAGTAAGTCGTAATAAGACTCACCCTGACCGACAAAGACTTGTATTCAACACCTTTACTTTTACCAGCATGCCACATTCTGTGAAAAGAGATTAAACAAGGTCACAAACTTTCTATGCAGAAAGAATTGCTTTCTGCATTATATGTTATGAAGGTCAGATATATACATAGTGGGGCATCAACACACACCATAAACAAACCACAGAACGGAAAGTGTTCCACAACTGCAATTGCTGACTCACTCAGCGAAGACACTAGCTTCAGGTGATTACAGGTATTTATAGAATGAACCTGTGACCTGTGACGGTGAATGACTTTTCCTTGGGGTAAGTGCGAGATTTAAAAGTACCATATATTATAGTGGTTTATTGCATGTTGTTACATTGTATCATGGCTTAATTACTTAAACTTTATTACAGAAATAATGTTGGTAACTTAGAATTTTTTGAGTTAAATTACTGTGAAATACTTTATTTTAGCTGGAATTAATTTTCGATGAAAAAACTTTTTGGGTGTTTTGTATGGAATTTATATTTTCACTGATTTTTGGAGAGTTGAATTAAAAAATATAGAAAAAAAGAGGTATGTAAGGTTGCATAAATACGCCAGTTGCGAGTGGTGAGTTGCGAGTAGCAAGTAGCAAAATGTGTCAGTTGCGAGCGCTCGAAAGTGTCAGTTGCGAGCGCTCGAAAATGGCAGTTGCTAGCGCTAAAAATAGCAGTTGCTAGTGGCGATTTGTATGTACTTGCGAGTGCTAGCTACATCGGCATTGTGTGAAATAAA